CCCCAAAACCCCAAAACCCCAAAACCCCAAAACCCCATAAGAGGAGAGAATCATTGTTAGCATTAAATAATTAAAACACAAAAATGATTGACGGAAAGTACAGTTTGAGCAACTTGATGGGTATTGGTGGCTCATCCAGAGTCTACTCATGTGTTGACATTAATGGTAAGTCTATTTTGACAAGATTTAAACAAAAGCACCTCCTAAATGCTCATTGACTGCAAAACATTCATGGTTGAAAGCCATTTTTGTCCCGGAAAATGAATAGAATAAGGGTTTCGATCTACTTTTTCCTAATGCTATTTCAGTTTTTTTAGAGTATCTTCCAAGTAAATGTCTCTTTCTTATGAAGCTTCTCTTGCTTTCCTTTCTCTGACCAATAGAGTATCCTAAACCATGCATTCCTTAGAGTCTAGTTTAGAACTCTTAAGAATTTCTTGCTGAGAGTTTTAAGAAACTACCTATAAGTGAAGGGCTAAAGAAATTTCCTCAAATTTATTTTTGAAAGTAATATTCGTTGTATACTTCACTCTCTTTGAAATTTTAAGATTTTTGTGAGAATGGTACGGTTTAGGAAAATATCTCTTTGGGCCTTCATGACATAGCCTCGGTTAGAATTAGATATTCTATGCCTGTAGATAGCCTATACGAAAGAACTGGGTGCCCATGCTTTGGAGGGTTATGGATATTGTGACTTTCTGTCCAGCTCAGAAAGAAAAATTCAGTATTTTAGCCTTAATTTAACAGAGTTTTATTAAAGTTTTTAATTGATATAGAAAGTCATCTAGCGACTCTTATTTTGTTTATTCTTCTGCTCTTTGTCGACTTGTGAAAGGTTCAGCTAGGGGTTCCCTTTAAATGACATTATGATCCTCATAGAATTTCTCAAAATTTTTGATAAGTTTGAATTTTCTGAATTACCATTTATGTCAGAATGAAATTTGACAAATCTGAAATTAGCCAGTACAACTAAGCGTATTTGTAATCATTGACTACTAATTATCGGTCAACTTTAGATATAAGGTTCCTGTCTAGAACTCTGTGTTGTGTATTTTTCTCATACAGTAATTTGGGTTTGGACATTTTAGTCATAAATGCTGTCATTGAAATGTTCCATCGAACCCCCAAATGGTGCAGTTAAGAAACAAAACATTTCACATGCAAGCTTTGGAGCTAAAGTGATTATGATACCATTAGATCTCTATCGGAGCTAATGATGCTATCTCAATATTTGTATGAGAGGAGCTAGTATGGGGAAGGTGCATCTTAGATATTTTCAATCTTCCATTCTGTTCTTAAATATATCAAGATTAGTCCCTCTATGGTGCAAATAAAGGCTAGGATAAGTATTTAGAGCTTGGTCGAACCCTTAATGAGCTCTTTCATGCTATACATGAGAATTTTGAACTTTATTGTTGCAATTGGGCACGAAATATGATGAATTTTATTTCAAATTTATTTTGCCTTATCCGTTTTATTAATTTTCTTTATAGATAATGAAGAGTATGCAGTTAAGGTGATCAGAAAGGACAAGGGATACACAGACCAAGTCTGAACTAGGCTAGTTGAGATGGAAGCAAATACTATGGTCCATCTCGGAGAGCATCCAAACTTGGTCAACTTTGTTGATGCCAATAAGTCCCATTGTGTGTATAAGAAAATGAACAGTATGAATAATCCCAACAAGAAAGAATATGTCACAGTCGCAGAAGAAATCAACTATTTGGTTTTAGAAAAGTGCGAAAATGGTGCTCTATCTAAATATGTCAAGACTACAGGCCTCTTTGATGAACTCACGACAAGATTCTTATTTGCACAGCTTTGTGGAGCAGTTAATTTCATGCACTCCCAAGAATATGTCCATCTTGACATTAAATTGGACAATATCTTATTGGACAAATATTTCAACATAAAGCTTGCAGATCTTGGGATCGCTCTCTGATCAAGAGGAACTACTCATCTCTTAGCCCATAAAAGGGGGACTGCAAAGTATATGGCTCCAGAGGTTGCCAACTGCGATAGCAAGAGACCATACAATGTATATCCAGCTGACATTTACTCCTTAGGTGTTTGCCTCCATTTGATGCTTTTTGGAACTTACCCAATTGCCGATTCAGATTCTGAAATGTCCACAGATGAAGAGAACGATGGATCTCCAAAGTTAAAACAAGATTCTTCTCCAAGACTTGACTCCTCCTCTTGTTTGATCGCAGCATATCTTTCAGAAGATTGTTTGGATCTTCTTGAAAGAATGCTTAGCCAAGATCCTTCAATGAGGCCAACTATTGAGGAAATCGAGAACCATCCTTGGATGTCTCAAGAGTTTCCTGAGCAGATAGGAGAAATCGTATATTCAGAACTCAATGAGAGATGCAACCATATAAAGTCATTGGTTGCTGATTCATCTCCTTCCTTCTCGATTGACCTGGACTAGATTTGTGAAATCTCTAGTGTATTAATTTCTCCTCACAAAGGAGAACTCATAATTTTAAATAAACACTTTTATCTAACATTGAGACTCTCTTGTAGGCTTGGCCCTACCCAAGCCAAATAATTTGATAGCTAAGGTATCAAAGCCTAACTTTTTGTTTGCAATTTCTTCCTCATAATTTACAAAAATGGAGAAAGTTTCACCAGCATCCCAATAAATGCAAGCTAGATTCTTGGATTTTAGTTAAAGAACTTTTAAAATTTTTAATTGTTCCAATAAACCTACCTTTTAAATGATCATAGGCTTATTGGTTAGTGCATTTTAAGTGCAGCTAATGTTTTGAGACATTTTATTAGATCTGTCCATTTGTGAATTTTTGACAGCTAAGAAAAGTACTTCATAGGAAGATCAGAAAATTTACTATAAGCGTCCTAAAAAGTTCATGAGAGATAAAAGGGAATGTTTCAACTATATGATGCAATAAAGGGGTTTTGGGGTTTTGGGGTTTTGGGGTTTTGGGG